TTTTATATATTTTATATATATATATAATTTTAATATTATATATATATATATATATATATATATATATATATATATATACTAAAGTATATTTATGAATATTTTTAGATAAAGGTAACTGCTAAAACAAATATGATATAGATATATATTTATTATTATTATTATTATTATTATTGTTGTTGTTGTTGTTGTGTGTATTCTGCTTAATATATATAATATATTATTATTTTGGACATTAATACTTTAATATGTATAATAAATAGTGATGAGTTGATTCTCACCTTTATATGAAGTGTAGTCTTTCTTGAGGCCTTCACTGATGTCAGAATCACTGTCATTAGCATCACTGTCTCCTTTCCCACTGTCTTTGCCGCTGATCTGTGGGTCTCTGACTGCGATGGTCATCATGGAGTTTCCTTTCCATACCGTGATGGGTCGAGCGTTGCCTTTACCATAACCAGGCAAAGTGGAATATCCCTGTGAACACACAAGAACAAAAGCTCATGCTCTCTGCTCTTCTGATTTTTCACTTTGTTGATGAACTATTAAACCTCTGTTACTGTTTTCCAGGTCGTTCACACAAATTGCTAATTTTTGTGTTCAGTCTGCACTATTTTTTGTTGGTATACTGTATATACACATGCATCACACAGAAATCTTTGTTGCATTGCACACTTGTTTTATTTCTGCATCTCATGCCATGAACCTATTTACTTTAAAGACAGCTTATATTTGGTAAAACACATTCCATTGCAGTCCTTCTAGCTGTTTTGTAACACGTGACTTTGTGTTTTTTAAGACAAGTTAAAATCAGCTTTTAAAACACCCCTGTGGTCTGTCACATTGCTTTGTGCTATTTCTTATTGGTCTATTTACTCAAAGCTTTTGGCTATTTAGTCACATCTCACTGCATTTTCAGTGCCTTCCGCTGTAAGCGTTGCGTTTTTAAAACATCCCAAGTTAAAATCTGACAATTTTCAGGTTCAATTCCAATGTGTTCAATTCATTTTGATTCCACTGGGATACTTCCAGCTGTTTTTGGTGAAAATAGTGCATTGTATTTGTACATGCCCTTCAGTCATTGCATCACATCTCTCTGTGTTTTTCAATGTTTCACACCATGAGTTTTATGTTTATAAGACAACATGTCAAGTTAAAAACTGATTGACCTATTTTCTGTTCTATTCCTTTGCATCAGTCTCCTATATTTATTTATTTATTCCTTCCTTCCTTCTTTCCTTCCTGCCTTCATTCAATTTTGGCCTATTTTCATGTGCATCAGACAGACATTTTTGGTTGTTGCATGCACATTTTTTGCATTTTACAATGTGAGGATTGCATTTTTAACACGGCGTGTTAAAGGGATAGTTCACCCAAAAATGAAAATTCTGTCATTCTGCTCTCATGTCGTTCCAAACTCGTAAGACCTTCATTCATCTTCAGAACACAAATTAAGATATTTTTGAGGAAATCCAAAAGCTTTCTGATCCTGCATAGACAGCAATACAACTGAAATGTTCAAGGCCCAGAAAGGTAGTAAGGACATTGTTAAAATAGTCCAAGTGACATCAGTGGCTCAACCGTAATGTTATGAAGCTACGAGAATACTGCGTGCGCAAAGAAAGCAAAAATAACGACTTTATTCAATGATTTCTTCTCTTTCGTGTCAGTCTTCCACCCGCGTTCACAACAGTACCACGTCACATGCGTGTGCTTTCCTCTGCATTCCTCTGCTTGTAAACAAGGCGCAGCGCATGCAGGTTCTACGTCAGAACACCGGCTCCTGCATCAGCAGCATAACACGTATGCCTCGTTGCAGTCTATGTAGGGTCAGAAAGCTCTCGGATTTCATCAAAAATATCTTAATTTGTGTTCCAAAGATGAATGAATGTCTTACGAGTTTGGAACGACATGAGGATAAATGACAGAATACATTTTTTGGTGAACTATCCCTTTAAGCAGTTAAATTCAGTGTTATTTTAGTATAATTGAGATACTATTATTGTTTTTCTTAATATTTTGAATCAGTTTTATTTTTTTATGTTGTTTTCATTTTAATTTTAGTTAAAGTTTTGTAAGTGGGAGAACTTGCACAATTGGTGGCTGACTAAATACTTTTTTTCCCCACTGTATATATATATCAGTTTCATTTTTAGTTATTTTAGTAGTTCATAGAAATACAATGGTTTTCATATTTTATTTCACTGCACTTAAATTGTATTTTATTTAAAGTAACAAAAATGGTTTTTATGGTTTTAGATTTTAGTTAACTATAATAACCCTAAATTTTAAAATAATGTGTATCCCAATCCTTCAGTTCTGCTGTAATCATTTTTGCTCTTTTGCACCATTGTATTACTGTTGCAAACGTATCAGATGGACGTCTCTGGGCGTTGCATTGCATCTCACTGTTTTTCGCTGTCATTCTGTCTTCGCTGTATTTTATATATATATATATATATATATATATATATATATATATATATATATGTGTGTGTGTGTGTGAGATGCACATCTTTGTTCACTGCATTGTACAAAGTTAATGTTTTAAAAATGTGTTTTGTGCCATTCCTTTAAGTACCATCTGCACTGTTTTGCATTGGCCTGTACACGCGCATCAGATGGACGTCACTGGCTTTCACGTCTTGCGTCATTAGCATTGCATTTAGAGCCCTGCGTTCTGTTCCGCTGTGCTCCTTCGAGCTGTTTTTCAATGCATGTCCTGTGTGAACGGCCCCTCAAATACACACACAGAAAGAAACACTGTCACCACTTACATCTATTTCCCCCGCCACACTCCTATATTTGCTCTTGAAGGTCTGTGGGGTTTGGTTAAAAACTTCAACTGTTGCCTGCACGCTGTTGTGTAGTTTCTCAGGCGTGCCGATGATGCTCGTGGAGTGAAATGCATGCATGTCGAACACATTGGCCGTCTGGCTGGAGATCATCGACACGGTGTTGTGCTCTTTAGCATAAGGAATATCCACCGTGTCAGGGAGGTTAGCTTGTCTCTTCTGACCGTTTTTGCGACTTTTGCATAGTATGAACGATAAAATAGCCAAAAACAGCAACGAGGAACTCGTCAAAGCCAAGATTAAAATAAGCATCCATTGTTTTGGTTCGCCATCCTCTCTTTCATCGTAGAAATTCCCATTTGAGGGCGTAGACTCGGTTAGGGTGAAATGAATCGTAGCTGTTGAGGTTAGCGACGGGTGGCCGTTGTCGTTAACCGTCACTAAGACTTTCCATAAGTCGTACTCGTCGTAAGCGATTTTGCGGTTGATATATATTTCCCCCGTATTCGGATCGATGGCGAAACCGAAATCGCCTCCATCATAGAGTTTGTAAGTGAGCTCTGCGTTCAAACCGGCGTCTGAATCTTTCGCCACGATTCGGGTCACGATATAACCGGGCGGAGCGTCTCTGGGAAGCTGGATTTCGCCAGATCCGTTGACGAGCGGTGGTTGCGATATCGAAGGCGTGTTGTCATTCTGATCGACTACATTGATAATCAGTACTGCGTTGCTGTGAAGTTGCGGCCATCCTCGGTCGCTAGCCTGAATGCGAAGATCTAGCCGCTTCGTGACTTCGTAATTGAAACTTTGCAAGGCGTAAACGTTCCCCGCTTGATTCATAATAGCAAACCTGGAGACGCTGTTGGTGTCCGTGTCAAAAAGCTCATAGGTTATTTCCCCGTTAAGCCCAGAATCCTGATCGCTGGCTAAAATCGTGGTGATGTAGGTACCTGGAAGTTGATTCTCCTCAATGAAACCTTCATATATCTTAGCGCTGAATGTCGGCGCATTGTCGTTGACGTCTGTGAGCCGTATAATGTAATGAGTTACCGTGCGTAACGGCGGTACACCGAAGTCCTCAGCCACCACGGTTAAATTATACTCCGCGATATTTTCTCTATCCAAGGGTGCCATCGTAACTATCGTGTAGCTCCCTTCATACGCTCTTTTAAGCCTGAAGTTTCCGTGTCCGCCGTTCAGAGTGCAGCTCACTTGCCCGTTCACTCCAGTGTCCTTGTCTTTGATGCCGATTAAAGCCACCAGGATGTCTTGACCTGTAGCTTCGCTAACATGCGCAACACCATCTGTTACTGATGTGATGGACGTGAGGATGATTTCAGGCGGGTTGTCATTCACATCTCTGATGTTGATGATGATTTTGCACACGGAGGGCACCGGATTGTGCCCTAAATCGGTGGCTTGCACGTCGATCTCATACGTGGTCTCGTCTTCGTAATCCACAGGGCTCTGCAAAGTCAAATGTCCTGTTTTATAATCCAGTTTAAACAGTTGTCTGATCTTTTTTGTGACTTGTTTGCCAAATTCATACACGACCTGTCCATTGAGACCTTCATCCGGGTCGACGGCGTTTAGGTCCAGCAGTAGCGAATCAACGGGGGTGTCCTCTGGCACATCCACAGAGTAATGGATGTGGTCAAACAACGGGCTGTTGTCATTAGCATCCTTCACTTTGACGGTGACATTAGTGGCGCCGCTTTTCGCGGGATGCCCGCCGTCTGCTGCCACGAGTTTGAGAGCGAAAAAAGCACGGGATTCGCGGTCGAGCTCTTTGACGAGCACCAGCTCCGCATATTTAACCCCATCCACTCGAGTTACGACATCGATGCTAAAGTGAGTGTTCTCGCTCAGATGGTAGGTTTGGATAGAGTTGGAGCCCACGTCCGCGTCCTCGGCGGCGTCCAGCGCAATACGCGTCCCAAGCGCCGCGCTCTCGGAGATCTCGACGGTGCACTCGGCACGCGGGAACTCCGGCGAGTTGTCGTTCACATCCAGCACTTCCACCTCGACGTGAAAGAGCTCGAACTGCTCGGCGGACACGAAGGCGACGTCGAAAGTGATTACGCACCGCGGGTTGCGCTTGCAGACGCGCTCGCGGTCGACGCGCTCCTCCACCGTCAGCCTCCCGTCGCTTTCCCTGAATCGGATGAAGGAGCCGGTGGACGGGCTCATGAGCTTAAACCTGATTCCGGGGAAAGTCCTGCGCGTTTTGTCCGGGGTCCAGGTTACATTGCTGGCTAGAGTTCCGATGACCGTCGGCGGTCGAACCTCCTCGTATATCTTATACCTCACCGTCCGTTCCTCAGAAACGACCTCTGACAGCAGCGAAACGCAGACGAGCGTGACTCCAAGTATCCGCGCGAACAGAAGTCCTCGCTCCATTTTCAGCGCACCTGAGCGCGGAGAGATTCGTCCGGATACATCAGGTTCTCTCAACTGAAGCGCAAGTCACTTGTTCTGCGTGCGGCTTCTTCTCTGACCCCTCCCGCGACAGACACACACACACCAATGACATTTACAATGCACACGAATGGCCAATACACCTTCACACAGGTCTGATGCACGCGGGAACGAACGCGATATTCAATGCATTCGAATGGAATTGAAGAGAATATTCAGTACTGTAGAACTCGGGCATTGTGCGCGCGCGTGGAGAGGGTGACAGGACAAAGAAAAAGACATTTCGTTTTCTTTCTCCTATTTGAATGGACAGGGAAGGGCACTGATTTTAATGCATTTGCAGTAGAGACATGAAACTGTCCTTATTATGAATAGAACTATATTGACATGACCTAATTGGAGTCTGTTTTTAAGGGATTACAGGTTTTGAGTTTGCATATAACCTTAAAATGTCTCCAAATGTGGACTGAATTGCCATTGCCTGAGAATGAGGACGGTGACGTGACATTTCTGTCCTACAAAAAATATTTTCATCATTTGGATGGGCAGCACGTAACACTGATTTTGTCCAATGCACACATTATTTTATTTAGCAGATTGTCCTGCGCTGTGACGGTCCACACTGTGAAATACAGAAATGCATCAATGCACAATGTGGATAGAAATCCTATTGCTATGTTTGGGCTACATTTCACTCTAATGTACAATTTTGTCACCCGTTCTTCAGTCCTGTGGAGTAACTCATAAAATCTCTTTGTAAATGTGCATCCTTGAAAATGTGGCTCAATAGGACGCAAGTAAGATAGTTTTCCAAACTTGTAAATTAAGAAGAGGAAAAGTTCTGCCTCCTGCTATTCGTTTAAGGTCTGTTTAACTCCCTCCATGCTCATTTATTCAGTCCTGTGGTGTTACACCTCCCAAAATAGCCGAATCCCTTTAAACTTCATCTAAAAGTACTTTAACAGCATTTTCAGAATGTCTTATTATTATTTATGTGCGTTGAGTTTTCACAGCCTCATTAATTGAGAGGCTACAGGGAATGTGTGCTTTATAAAAATTAATTTGTCACACTGCTGGGCCATAGAAATGAAAGTGAAAAGTTGATTAAAAGTGGCGGAAAAAATGCACTTTTGAACATTCTCACAATCTGTCTGCCTTCCTCATCCGTCCATCTCTTATCACAAATCTCTCTCTTTGAAAGCAGAACTATAATGTATTCATCTTTAATCTAAATCCAAATCTTGCCCACTGGGTGAAAAGTCTCTAGACACAAGCCTGGATTTCACTCTGGTTTTGGCCAGTTGTTAAACTCGGAAAATTGCAGTCAGATCTGTGAAGTGCTTCTAAATATTTCATGAATTTATCGTACGCACCTATCAACCGGCGGTAAAATTTATTCCAAACATTCCAGATTATATTGCACAGAAAGCACTGCATTTCTTTGGAAGTTCAGGGCAATCTTTTGTGCTTTCAAATGAATCCGAGGAGCTGAAAAGAGGTTTTTGTAGCGGGGAAAATGCTGTGCAACTGTTTGAGAGGAGATAGGGATTCCAAATTCATAGTTCGCTCACAGACATAATTCCATTTTTAATAGGACTCTAAATGCATTTGGTTTCAGGGGATATCTTTTTGCATTTTCAAGTTAGCTAATCACATCTGTCTATGACATGCTTCAAGAAATGGCACGGAAGTCGACACAAAAAAATAGGAACGGGCTTCATAAAGGATTGAAATGGGAATTGAATTATATGGCAGCGATGCCCGCAGTTGGCTGATTAGTGTTCTCGCGGGGGATGATTTTAAGATTTCTTCTGGACACAGCAGCGTCTCTCTCCCGGGGAAACCGAGCCTTTCTGTGAACTGCATTAAGATTGGCCACATTTTGTGTGTGCCAGTCTTCAACGGCAGCTCTGATGATTATATTGAGAGAAAGAGAGAGAGAGAGAAGGAAAATATCTCAGTGACCTTTGCCTTATCAACTGTTCCATGTCCTCACCCTCAGGGCATCCGAGATTAGGATGAGTTTGTTTCTTCATCAGATTTGGAGAAATGTAGCATTGCATCAGTGTCTCAGCAATGGATGCTCTGCAGTGAATGGGTGCCGTCAGAATGAGAGTCCAAACAGCTGATAAACACATCACAATAATCCACAAGTAATCCACAGCACTCCAGTCCATCAGTTAACATCTGGAGAAGACAAAAGCTGAAACACATCCAGCATTAAGATGTTTTTAACTTCAAACCATTGCTTCAAGCTAAAATATGAGTTCATAATCCATAATAACACTTCCTCCAGTGAAAATGTCCATCTCCTGTTGTCTCTTTGTTTGTTTAGAGCTGTTTTGGCTTGTAAACGCTGCTTGATCTGTGCAGATTTCTCTCCTGATTCAGACCAGAACACTTCTTCACTGGAGGAAGCGTTATTATGGATTATTACTATTTTGAATTATGCTTTAATATTATATATTATATTTTCAGTTTTCATTTTTATATTTTCATTTTTAGTTTTTTTCCCTCCCAATTTAAATATTTTTCTTAGATGTTTTTGATATATATATATGTGTGTGTGTGTGTGTGTGTGTGTAAAACAACTAAGAAAAAAAATTAGCTTAAATTAATGTTTATTATTTTATTTTATTTTATTTTTATTAATGTTAGTGCTTAAACTTATTTCAGTTGCCAAGTCAGCATTGCTAATTTTCATTTTATTTAATTAAAAAAAATCAAGTTTAATACTTTTATTTTATTTTTATTTTATTTTTATTTCATCATATTTTGTTTATTTTTATTTTTAGTCATTTTAGTCGTTTAAAATAAAAAATATTTATTTCAGTCAGTATTTCTAATTTTCATTTAAGTTTATTAAGTTTAAGTTCTTCATGTAATATTTATATTTTATTATATTTCAGCTTTTTTTATGAACAAAAATGGTTTTAGGTAACAATAACATCACCAATTAGAGCACAACAGTCATTTCCTGAAGTTAAAATTCCACTCACAGTCGCCATAAAGAACTTTATATTATGGATTATGGACTTGTATTTTAGCAGCGGTTTAAAGTTAAAAACGTCTTAATGCTGGATTAGTTTCAGCTTTTGTCTTCTCCAGGTGTTAACTGATGGACTGGAGTGCTGTGGATTACTTGTGGATTATTGTGATGTTTTTATCAGCTGTTTGGACTCTCATTCTGACGGCACCCATTCACTGCAGAGCATCCATTGTTGAGACACTGATGCAATGCTACATTTCTCCAAATCTGATGAAGAAACAAACTCATCCTAATCTTGGATGGCCTGAGTAAATTTTCATTTTTGGGTGAATCATTCCTTTAAGCAATGCATCTGCAGTGGTATCATATCAAATGATACAGTCTATTTAGGATTTATTAGCCTCTTTTGTATCAGTCTGACATATTTTGTTGCTCGTTCATACTTCAACCAGCTACCGCCTTCCCACAATGCTTCATTTTTGATTGTTTTCCTGCAGGCGCTCTTTCTGTGCTTGGCCGTCTTCCATTAGCACTAGCCTCACTGTCATCCAATACAGCCTGTGTTCATCTGGGAAAAACACCTACAAAACATCAAGAAAAGACCTAAAATGAAACAAAATCAAACCAAAGATTTATTTCATGACCTGATTTAAGCGTGTCTTTTGACAGAGTGCAGTTTTATGTTTCCTACATCATTCAGAGTCAATGAGAATCGCAGTGACCTTCGGTACATCGTCATATTCTGCACTTCACTTAAAGCCTTTATATATCATGCATTATAAAAGTATTTTAATGCATTAATTAAAGCAACTTATAATGCATTGTATGATTTCATGAATAATTGTTACCACAGTAATAATATTTATCTATTCACTGTTACGCCTTTAGGAAGTCTAATGCATTAAAACAAGACAATCAACTGATCGTAGATGTAACAAGGCATCTGCAAATATTATAATGCATTTTGACTTTGATTACAGTTGTTTATGAAAATGTATAATGCATTATAATGTACATTATGGATACCTTCATAACGCATTCTACATATAGGCTTCAAGTGTTAATGTATTAACTAACATGAACTAACATGGAGCAATAGATTTTTTACAGCATGTATTACCCTTTTTTAATGTCAGTTAATAAAAATGTTCACGTTCATGTTAGTTCACAGAGCATTAACTAATGTTAACAGATTTGTTAAGTTTTGATCTTAAAAATGTTTTAGTAAATGTTGAGATTGCTTAATAAAATAAAAATTTAATATATATATATATTTTATGATAAACAATAAATATTTTATAATATATAATAAGCAATATATATATATGAAATAAAATAAAAGAAAGATTAATAAATGCTGTAGAAGGGTCTTTTATTGTTAGTTTACGTTAATTAATGTTAACAAATTAAACCTTATTGTAAAGTGTTACAGCTTCAAAAAAATAAAATAATGAAATTAATTCAATTAAATTTGCTTGCATTTAAAAAAAAATCATATACAGGTTTTTTTGTTACATCATGGTTACTAATGATTTTTTAATAATAAAAATATATTTTTACAATAATAAAATAACTACACTATTATGTAGCAAAAAGCCTGTATATGAATTATATATTTTTTGCAACAATAAAATAATTACATTTGCTTGCATCTGCATTTAAAAAAATATATAATATACAGGCTTTTTGCTACATAACGTAGTTAGTCAAAGCTCACACCACTGCATTTTACAACGCTTTCTGACTCTTCCAGTTTAAATTTATCCTCTTTGTAATACTGAATAAATATTTATACAGCTGAAATGTGTTGGATGTGAACTAGATCGTAGGTTTGGTTTTGAGTCGGATGTTCAAACATTTCAGTCTCAGCAGGGGCTTTCACTTTGACTTGAGGAATTCTTGAACCGTCGGCTGGAGACGTCTCTCACAAACATTCCCCCCCGATCCCAGGTGTGCGTCGCTCTCAGGTGCGGCGTCAAGCCTTCCTCTCGTAAGCCGGGCTGGAAGTCTCTGCTTATTAAACGAAAGATCAAAGCGAATCAATCCTCTGTTGTGTGTGAAGAGAAAAAAATCAGCGTCTCGAAGTTTCAA